GTATCTCCATATTGATTTCCATAGTGGTTGCACCAGTCTGCACTCCCACCAACAATGGAGAAGGGTTCCTTTCTCCCCACAACCCCGCCAACATTTGTTATTGATTCTTTGTGGGGTGAGGTGGAATCTCAGTGTTGTTTTCATCTGCATCTCTTGAATGGCCAGTGATGTACATTTTTTCATATACTTACTTGCAGCTTTTACTTCTTTGTCTGAGAAATGTCTGTTCATTTCAGATGCCCATTTTTGATTTGGGTCTTTATATTTGGGGGGCTGATTGTTTTGAGTTCTTTATATATTCTAGATAATAGTCCTTTGTCTAAGGAGCAGCTGGTAAAATTTTTTCCCACATTGTAGGTTATGTTTTAGTTCTGTTGATGGTTTCTTTTGCAGTGCAGAAGCTTTTTAATAAGATGAGATCCCAGTTGTTGATTCTTTCTGCTAGTTCCCGTGCTGAGGATTTCTTCATGAAGTCTTTTCCTATGCCAATGTCTTCCAGAGTTCTGCCTAACTTATCTTCCAGCAAGTATAGTGTTTCTGTTTTAATATTTAGATCTTTAATCCACTTGGATTTTAATTTAGTGCATGGTGAAAGATAAGAGTCTAGTTTTAATCTTGGGTAGGTTGAGATCCAGTTTTTCCAACACCATTTATTAAAGAGACTACCTTTCCTCCAGTGGGGACTGTCAGCTCCTTTATCAAAGATGGCATAGCTGAGAACATCTGGAGTTGTTTTTGTGTCTTCCAGGCTGTTCCACTGATTCCTCAGGTCTGTTTCTTTGCCAGTACCATGCTGTTTTTATCACAGTGGCTTTGTAGTATAGTTTTATATTGGGAATTGTTATACCTGCTGCCATGTGTCTGTTGCCTAGGATGGCTTTTGCTATTCTAGGTCTCTTATGGTTCCAAATGAATTTTTGGATTCTTCTTTCTAGTTCTGTGAAATATAGTGTTGGAATTTCAATTGGCATTGCATTGAATCTGTATAGCAGTTTTGGTAGTATGGCCATTTTTCTTATATCCTCTTCAATCTCTTTCTTCAGAGTGTAGTCTTCAGCGTAGAGGTATTTTGCTTCTTTTGTTAGATTGATTCCTAGATATTTCATTTTTTTGGATGCTATTGTGAAAGAAATTGTTTTCCTAATTTCTCTCTCAGTGACTCTGTTATTTGTGTACAAGAAGGCTTTTGGGTTCAACAAGTATTTTTCAAAGAACGTATTTAATGTGTGTCTGTCAGCTCTGCTAAGCCCTGGAAATGCAATGGAGAACAAGATGCCACTTCTGCACTGAGGGAGCTTACAGACTAGGGTGGAATAAAATGGGAGTTCATGGGAAATTGCAATACACTTAGATAAATGCTATGATGTGGGAAACTAGAAAGATCTTGGCCAAAGTAAGTCCATCAGGGTGACCTACACTACATGTGATACAAAACCGAAACAAAACTAGGGTAAGCAAAGAATGCCATCAACTAGTTCACATAGCTGGATCTGAAGTACGTGAACAGTTCAGGCACAGCTTTACCCAGGGAATATAAGAATGGTGTTTTTTCTTTTTTACCTGAGACTTGTAGTGCACCCCAGAACTCTGGGAGGCTTGAGGCAGCAGAATCACATGGACAACTTAGTAAGACCCTATATCAAAATTTTAAAATATAAAAGGCAGGTATACAGCTTAGTGCAAAGGCCTCAGGTTCAATCCTCAGTACAAAAAAACAAATTCAGTTTCTTTTCATTTTTCCCCTCTTGATACCAGGGATTGAACCTAGGCCCTTAATTGTGCTAAGTACATATTCTGCCACAAGCCACAAATCCAAATCCAAAATTCAGTTTCTTTCAGTCCATCTCTAGTTTCTCTGTACAGATTCCATTCCTAGGTAGGGTCTGCAGTTGTGCCAGAAACTTAATTCCAATGGTAAAAACAAAGGAAAAATTCTGTCCCAGTATTTCAAGAAAAAGTTCTGGTACTACTGTAACCCAATAGGATCATTTTAGGATTCGGAATCATCCCTAAAACAATCACTGTGCCAACAATGGGAATATTAATTTATTTAAGCCACTAAGGTGCTGGAAATATATAGGGGAGATCACTATTCATGTCTATTACCAATACCAGTGGCAGTTAGACAGAAATTCAGGGTCACTTGCACAGAGACAACTAAAGCTGTGGGCAGATGAGATCACTCAGGGGAAGTATTTTGTCAGAGAGAAGCGGCCTTGGAACAGAACTCCAGGAAGTACACAAACTTTAAAACTGAGCAAAGGAGCTTTTAGAAGAGAAGAGAGAGTGCTAGAGATGAGACAAAATCCAGGGGAGTAACATTTCAGAGAGGTCTTTCTTTATTGAGGCTTTCAGGAAGGAAATACTGAACCAGTCTGCAATATCATTAGCTGGGAGACAGTAGGCAAGACAAGAACTGAAAAGTACACTTTAGATCAACACCAGGGAGGTTGCAGATAGCTTTGAGGAAACAGTATTAGTGGAGAACAAAAGGTGAAGATCTGTGTGTGTGTGTGTGTGTGTGTGTGTGTGTGTGTGTGTGTGTCTGCCTGTCTGTCTGTCTGTCTGTCTATCTGTCTGTCTTAGGGAAGCTAGAAAGCAAAAAGCGTTCTTCATTGGAAACACAGGTGTAAATGAGTGAAGAATGCTGGGGTGGCTAGAAGGACCTATGGAGTCAAGGGAGGATTTAAGATCTAAGACAATTAAACATTTTTAAATACAGGTTAGAAACCCATAGTAGAGCAAGAGAGGTTGAAGATAACTTTATTGAGAAAATGGGCTTCACATGCTTTCTGCTGTTCATATAAACACATCAGCTATATACCCAATATGACATAGAGGCTATTCATAATTGAGCAAACCATGATGAATTACACCTTAGAGAGGCGAAAAACTCTACTTCAATTTAAAAATATTTAATGGAAGTAACAGTATGCTTTTTAGGTGTTTAACTGGATTTTTAAAAGTGGAGGGCCGGGGATTTGGTAAAGTGGTTATGCCACCTGCCTCACAAGTGCCAGGGCCTGAGTTCAATCCCCAGTACCACACACACATAGTGGAGTCCTGAGGCTATTTTTATGAGACCTAATTTGAAAATATAATTTTAAATACTTAACGATGAAGTTCAGTTACAGCTAAAATGAAGGACTCAAGGTGCATTTTAACCTCTTTTGAAATCACTTGAAAAATGTAATAGAAACTGTGGAGACCCTCTTTGAAGTGAGAGATAAACTCCGTCTTTCATACTCTTCCAGGGAGGTTCCCTGAAAGTCCTGAGGCCTACAGTTGAGACTGCAACCCTCTCCTAGGATTTGCCAACAGGAATCTCCAGAATTTGCACATCTGTCAGCTAACAGGCTTCTTTTTGTTTCCTTCTTCTCAATCACAATGAAAGTAATGGCTTCTACACATAAACCTGGAATACCATTTCCAACTCCTTCCTCCCTCTTACGTCCCTGTACAGTCTATAAAGCAAAACACTGAACTTGGTCTGCCTGCAAAGGCTAGCTCTGTCGCTTTCTAAATTATATCACCCCAGCCAAGGATTTACCTCTGAGCTTGCGATATTTTCCTATTAACAATATGAAACTATCAGATGTTTATTTCCTCTAAACTCACCAGTCCCAATCCCAAGAATAGAGTATCAGTTTTTCTCAAAAAAACCTACTGCTTGATTAGAAACAGTCCAAAACTTTATTCTCATTTCCCCCCTCCCCTTGAATTACAAACTTTTTGAAGGCAGAAAATAGGCTACCTGTTTCATTTCTTGTTCCTTCTCTTATTACATTTCTGCCTTTAAAACCACAATTATTGCTGACTTAGTTGACTATTAATGTAGAATATAGGTCTAAATTTTGTTCTAGCCTCTACCATTAGGGTTCGCTTCTGTATTTCCTCACAACTTTTCCATATTTCACCTTCAGATGAAGTCACAGAATCACAAATAGCCTTGTTAATGGCTTAAGGTCTTGTCAAATCATTTACAAGAATATCCTCATAGGATTCCTTTCTAAAAATAAATGCTGTATAGGTTACTTAACCTCAAATTAATTCATAACTTTTATGATTTTCCTTAATACTGAAATAACTTTGAAAATTTGATTATCTTTAATTGTGTGTATAATAACATCAGTAAAAGTTTAAAATCATGCCAATAGTTAGGCAACTAACGGTACTGTGCTCACTGATGACAGGATTTTGTTTTTAAGAAGGGCACTGTTGAGATGCCACAAGTCAAATTACCAAAATAATAATAATCTTACAGATATTATTGGCTAGATAAGGTTATTTGGTGATAAGTTATTATATTAAATACTTAGTATATAATTGACTGTACATATTATATATTCCTTGCTTCAATAAATCTTGGGTATAGAGTTTCTTTCAGTCAGACCTAGAATTAGGTCTCTCAATCACTTGGTTTCAATTAAGTTCTATTAAAAAAACTTGTAATATAAGCATTTTCATTTTCAGCACTTCAACAACTGTACTCCCTTAAACCCATACAAAGAATTTTTTCCTAAGTTTTTTTTCCTAAAGGGAAAAAACAGTCAAAGGAAGTTCCAGAATTCCTGGGTGCTGGCTATTTAAAAATAGCAAAATCGTGTATTTTAATACATAATCTTCTAATATGTTTGGTTCTGCTTTTATAACACAAATACATGTTTCTCTCTCTTTTTTTTTTTTTTTTTTTGGTACTGGGGATCAAACTTGGGTCCTTGTGTTTGTGAGGCAGGCGCCAGAACCACTGAGCTAAATCCCCGGCCCATAACACAAATACATGTATATTACAAGCCAATGGGAGAATTTTCTTCAGTGAGTAAAAGTAAATTACAAAAATGTCAACAGAATTTCTACACAGAGAAATAAAACAAAAATTTGAGAATTCTGAATTTTTAATTTCGTATTATTTCAGTTAGACATTTCATATAATTTTATATAGACATGCTTTTAAGGTCTTTGAAGTCACATTCATATCTTCAAAGTAGTAAAATTTCATCCATAGCTGCTACATTCTGCCATTTGCTTTTATTATAATATCTGGAGGAAAAAATACAATAATAGATTACTTCATATGGAAGCAAGCGTCTAACAGTTACTAATAACCAATCCCTAAGGGTAAGAGCTCTTGTTCCCTAGGTCACACCAGTTCTACCCCATCAAGCCTTAGGAAAAAAGCTCAGAAAAACATTTTAAAAAAAGAAATAGCTAGCTCAACCTTCCTGGATATATTGGGAGCAGTTCTCTGGAAACACAGAGACCTGCTTGAAAACATTCTAGAAGAAAAAGCAACAAAAACGGCTGTCAGTGACCACTGCAGGGCTTCTTAACCTCAGCCTTACAATCTAGTGGAAGCAATCTAGCTGTGCTTCTCATCTTTGTCCTCCACAGCCACCATCCAGGCAGAAGCCCCTTACATTCTCCCACCCAATCCCCCTCTCTTTATTGTAGTTAAATCCAATTTCTTCCCATGTACAGAATTCTGGGTCCTTTGCCTTCTCACCTTACACCAGGGGAACTAGAATGGAGCCAGCGTTATCTATTTCCTATTGTCACTTTTATATTATGATATATCTATCCCTCATGGCATAATCAGCCTATATCAATAGTTCTAAAATTGTGTTATACCTTGGAATTATCTATTAAAATATCCAGGCTGTGCCCCATAGCAACTAGATCAGAATATGTGAAGAATCCAAACAACACAAACATGAAAATAGCTTAGTTTGGGGACCAGAGAGCTATCTTTGCTACTAAAAGTTGAGTCCAGGGATCAGTAACATTAGCATTATTACCTAGTACAGGTAGAGTCTTGGGTCTCCATCTAGATCTGTTTTATCAAAATTTCCATTTTAACAAGATTTTCAAGCGGTTCACAGTTGGTTAATGTTGGGGAAGCCTTGTCTCTACTACCCTTCACTCCCCCTCACTGTCCGTGCTAACCTCATACACTGATGGCTTACAAAAGACTTTGTTCACAGTCATCCTGTCCATTCCAGCTTCGGTAAGAAGCCCATCCAACTACTCTTCACCTTAGTAACACTTACACATACGCCCAGGGCCATGACCTTTACTGTCCCCAACATAACATAGAATACACTACTTCTAAAACTTTACAATCCTAGAGACTTTGAAATTATCTTCTAATCACTCTTCTTTCTCTCTACACTGTGTCAGTACTGAGTTCGTCACTAAACCCTGTCAATATTTCAGTTTAGACCATTTTTCAAACTCCAGAATTCCTCAGTTTGAGGAATACTTTAAGATACACTAGCTCAGGTATTTTTTTTATTGTTGTTGTTTTTGTTTTGTTTTTTACGAGTCTCAGTATGTAACCCAGAATGGCCTTGAACTCTCTCAGCAATCCTCCTGACTCAGCCTTCTGAGTGCTGGGATGACAGGTGTGTGCTGCCACATTTGGCTGTTCAGGAGAATTTTTGCAGAACTTCCACCTGGAGTTTCTACACCCATCTCGATTCTTTACAAACCACCTTCACACTTCTTGACAGAATTATCAAGCAAAAGCAAACTGGATCAGAATAAAATCAAAAGTCGCATGAAATATGAGCTTTTCCACCATCTGCTCCCCAATTACTACCCAAGACTAAGTTCTCAAAAAGCCTAACCTCCATTCAAGCCAAACATGACTAATTTCAATCCTTACCTCAGTGTGTTTAAGCCACTGTGCCTTTACTTAAACTGGCCATTCCTCTTGGAAGGACTACATGCTCGGGATGTCCCTGTGGGCTTCAGGACATCCTCCAGTAGATTCTCTACCTGCCCTGTGCACCCCAACTGAATATTACATATACTTCTACTAAAGTACATATACCTCCACTGGACTCCACCTACCTTGCTCCCCACATGAGATTATAGACTTTCTGAAGCGAACAACTACGTCATTATCTCAATATCATCAGCAAACAGTTGTGTCTAGCATATAACATCCAGACTTAATATTTGCTAAATAAATGAATGAGCCAGCTATAAAGCTTTATCTTTTCATTTGGTAGCTATACAAAACAAAACAACAGGCTTAAAAGGCTTCTATGATATAAATTTGTTTGAATTCTTTTTCCCCAAGGAACTAATTGGCATATTTCATCACTGTATTTGATCTACTTATCTGTGTCAGAGATTATACACACTTATCTGATGTACTCTTTACATGAGATGGCATAGCCAAATTTACCATCAAATATAATAACCACTCAATATAAACTGCATTATGAGGTTTTCTACCATCTGCTCCTCACTTACTACTGAAGACACAGTTCTCAAAAAGTATAATCTTTTAATTTTTGTACACTACTTTACAAGATTATCTCTAAACCTCACAACAATTCTTTGAGGCAAAAACTTAGCAATTTTACAAACATTGGGCTAAAATTTGTATAGTTTAAGGAATTTATTGAAGTGAAAGGGTTAGGTTTTGAATTTAGGATATCCTATTACTAAGTGATTTCTATTACCATGTCTCAGATACTTGCTTAGAATGGTTTCAATTCAATTTGTCATATATATGTATGATATTTCTGCCTAATGTTACCTAAAAACTCAAATTTCTCACTAATGATACATACGCATCTAGTTGAAAGCTAAAGTATCCTCTCCTGGCTTTTGATATGCCTGGTTCTAGGTCTGATTCTGTTAGAAAGTAGCTGTAGAATAGTGATTGGCCAAATCACTTATCAACCTGGGAAGGTCAGTTTCTTACCTGCAGAATGAGTAAAATAGACTAGATATATGATTCTCAAATTTTAGTAGCTATTAAAATCACTTTGAGAGTTCAACAGACAGTATTTTAGATTCTTGTGCCTTATGTTTAGAGACTGTAGCTTCCCACATAATGTTGACCTAGATGTTTCCTACAGTCTCTTCTATCTAGAAGTCACCATTTTCAAATCCCTACTTACCATACCACCTCCTCTATCACATCTTTTTTCGTTTACTACTACCAATTTTTTGCTTAAATCAGCACAGTGCCAGTTCTTAATGAAGAAGCAGCTTTCTGAACAGGGTCCTAGACCATCAAAAGTCAGCTTCACCCTGTAGTGCTGATTAGATTACTGCCAAACTAGCTAAAACTTTAAATGCCAGGCCTAAAAATAGGGTGTTGCATATTTAAAATAACAGGATCACAAGTTAGCTTGGGGCTTTGCTATTTTTACTAAAGGAAAAGCTGAGACAAATGGCCACAGGTTGAAAGAGAACTACTTTGGCGATCAGGCTGCTGTTACAGTGGGAGCTTAGGAAAAATCCAACAGGTGGCAGCATTAGTTCAACATTTGTCAGGGGATTTCTGTTAATTAAAATAAAAACTTCAGTCTAAGCCCTGAAGTGAATCTCCCAGACACATTTTGTTTCTGAACCCGTTGTTGTACAGGATGTTTCACAAAGGAAGTGCTCAAGAAACAGTAGGTGAATACAAAGCCATCTCCTTATCTTTAAAAAGAATACTACTGGGCCAGGGTAATTTAGCTCAGTGGTGCCGCTGCCTGCCTCACAAGTACAAGCTCCCCAGTTCAATACCCCATACCAAAACAAAACAAAATAAAATAATAATAAAAACAATAGTATGAGCCGGGTGTGGTGGTGCACACCTGTAATCCCAGCACTCGGGAAGCTGAGGCAGGAGGATCACTGTGAGTTCAAGACCAGCCTGGGCTACATATGAGTTCCAGGTCAGTCTCAACTACATAGTGAGACCCTATCTCAAAAAACCAAACCAAACCAAACCAAATAAAACAATAGTATGAAAAATGAAACCCAAACAACATAAAATTTCTAGATAAATACATTTTAAGTCAATGTTATAAACTAATTCTTCAACACATGAAATACAGTATTTGACTTTAAAATATTATTTTATTCATTTCATTTCTTTTCTATTCTTTTGTACTGGGGATTGAACTTAGGACCTTGCACTTGCAAGGTAGGTGTGGTGCCACTGAGCTAAATCACCTGCCCCAATTTTACTCACATTTTAAAACCTGACAAGACTTATAGTTTTGCCATGTCTATTTTGTGCAAAAATTCTTAGAACACAATTTATAATTAAATTTCCTATTACATAGGAATTTGTAAGGAAATATGTTTATATAATATAAAAATTATGCTCAGCATTCATAGTTGGGTACCTTGAGGAATATCTCTAGGAGGAGAATATCTCTTCTTCTTTACAATAACTCCTTTACTTTTCATCTGTCTAGCTCCTGGAGATGCCTTAATAATACAACAGATTTCTGGTCTATTTGAAGGAAACTAAAAAGAAAAAAAGCAGTCACTGTATAACTCTCCCAGCTACTACATTTTTATGTTGCTTTATTTCAAAGGCAAATAGCCTCAATATCTGTTTTATAGATATTATTAATAATCACAAGCATATATTAAATGCTTACTCTACTCCAGACCCTAATGGTTTCAAACCATTTGGTCAGTTAATATTCACAAGAGCCATGCAAAGCAGATCACCTTTATTTCACAAATGAAGAAACTCAGTTCAGAGAGACTGGACAACTTACTAAGGCTAAAGAGCAAGTCGTGGCAGGCTTGAAAGTCAAGCATTCCAAAGTAGAAGAGAAAGTTTGCATGATTCATTGAGTTAAAACACAAGTTTAAATTTAATTCTAAATTAATTCTAGAATATGTGCTGCCAAAGTGAGCACAATTCTAAATTAATTCTAAATAAAATTAAATCAATCCTAAATTCCTTGATTTCTCTACGCAGGTAATTTTGATGATTTTCTGTCAAGCACACAGTCTCTAGAATAAAGAAACACCGCATTTTCATAAGTAATGCTTCTTGTTAGTAGAGATACACATTTATCAAAGGTTTCTCCCATTTTAATTGCTATTATCCTTTGTGGTAAATACCTGTTATTTTCTGGTTCATTTTCCATTCTCCTGGTACTTGGGAGAATCGACCCACTTTCACTTCTACTCCACTTCATTCTTACAGATTAGGTAAGACGGATAAGACTGCTGCACTCCACAGTGGCCACAAGACTCAGCCTAGCCAACCAACATACTTAACAAGCTTCACAGTGTTATCCTCAAAAGCACGTTAAGTGGGCCAGTGGGAAGAAAGGGATTCTGAACCTGAAATGTTGCCACTATGAAAGAATCCAGCCCTAGAAATACCTACTGTAGTAAAAGTAAGGTCGAGTATACAAATGATCATGTATGGCATCAGGTTCAGTGTCAGATTTGTTCTTCATATTTAGCTTAGACTAGTTCCAGAAAGAAATGCAGGCTGAAATATGTTTTACCTCTTCCTAAAATTTCATTTTGACAACAAAGGATGTAATAAGCTCACAGAAACTGAGCTACTCTGTATTAGACCACATCAAACAACGGATTTTAATCCATAAAACATCAGTTATTGGAGCTGTCAGAGTGGAATAGAATAACAAGGCAGGAAATGACTAAATTAACAAGAGACTATCAGGAATTAAAGCAAATTTGAGGAAGAAATCAGAAATTCTTGAAAAATAAAAGTTGAAATACAAAATTCAATGGAAGGTTTAACAGCATAATAGATACAGATAAAGAAGAAACTATTGAAAGATTATCTAGAATATGAAAATAAAAAATACTGAAGAAATTCAAAGGATACAGAAGATTAAATGAAGTGTAATATGTGCCAGTTAACATTCCAGAGAGAATAAAACAAATAATAGCGAGGAAATTTTCCAAACTTATAAAACACATAAATCCACAGATTCAGAAAGCTTAATAACCCAAGAAAAATTTTTAGAACTAAAATGAAGAACAAGCAGAGTCAGGGATTTAGCTCAGTGGTTCTGCCACCTGCTTTGCAAGTGTAAGGACCTGAGTTCAATCCCCAGTACCAAAAAAAAAAAAAAGAGAGCAAGCAAAAAATAAGAATTTATGTATACATTTCAGTGAAATTAAAGCATACCCCAAATAAGAAGACCTTTAAAAAAGCCAGAAAGAAAAAAACATGCTGCATCTATCACCAAGTACCCTCAGGCTCAATGATTTTCCAGGATTCACATGACTCAGAAAAGCTGTTATACTTTAAGTTTATTACAACAAAAGAATACAGATTAAAATCAGCAAAGAAAAAAAGGCATATAGTGATAAATCTTGAAGAAAAACCTCCAGTTGATCTCACCTATCGGAGTTACATGGGCAGTATGTGATTCTCCCATGTGTAAAGTGTTGCAAACCAAGGCAGCTAGGAAGCTTTGTTTTTGTTTTGCTTTGTTTGAGAGAAAGGGTTTTACTATATAGTTCAGGCTGGTCTTGAACTCACAGCAATTCTCTATGCTCGGTCTTACAAGTGTATTACAGGCATGTGCCACCACACCTGACAGATGGTAAGCTTTGAGGTCAGGGTTTCTGCTTGGGATCAGTCACCGGAATATAGGTGGCATCTGGCTACTTCACCTGCTCAGACCTCAGTCTCCCCAGATCAAAATGATAGAGGATAACTAACCTCACACATCAAAAACAAGTTATCTGCCATAAATCACTTTGTTAATATAAACTACCTAGCCTAGATAAGACCTCAGGCATACAGACACAATGATCAATCACAGTATTATTCCATGAGCTCTGAGGTCATCTCTAGGAGCCTGGACAAAGGATAGTCTCGCTGACCTTAGAAATGTACAAGCCTAGGACCAGGGATGTAGCTCAGTGGTGCTGCCACCTGCCTCACAAGTACAAGTTCGATCCCCTTTACCAAACAAAAGTTCAATTCCCAGTACAAAAAGATAGAAAGAAAAAATTACAAGCTTATTAATTTAATCCTTTTCCGTGTAAGAGGGTTGTAATTGCAATATAAAATGCAATGTTACTATTAAAGAGCAGAGAAAAGCTGGGCACAGTGGTGTGCGTCTGTAATCCTAGCATTTTGGAAGGTTGGAGCAAGAGAATCTCAAGTTAAAGTCCCTCCTAGGCAATTTGTTTTGTTTTTGTTTTTGTTTTTGTTTTTGTTTTGTTTTTTGTACCCACGATCCAACTCAGGACCTTGCACTTGCAAGACAGACAGCGGAACCACTGAGCTAAATCCTCAGCCCCCTGCATAGGTAATTTCGCGAGACCCTGTCTCAAAATTACCAAAAAA